GCGAGAGGCCGACGTCCATTAGGCCTGGACAAGGGAGGCAGTCAACTCTGATGATCTAATAATGAAATTATGCCACTAGTAGCCACTCTAAGCTGCAAGGAGATGGGAGGGTTTTCACGGATTGGTGACTGCGCTTCAAGACCACTGTAATCTAGAGCTGCAACTAATGATTATTTATATAATCGATTAATCTGTCTGACTATTGATTGATTTATTGAGTTTGTTGGCTGCCTGGTGGTAGGAGAACTAAGCCAATCAGGAGCAACTAAAAGGTCATGGCTTCGAATCCTAGCACTGGCTGGGTATACCTGGTTATGTCATCCCCGCCCAAGGTGGCAAATTTCCCTTGTAGGGTCAATTAAGGACATAACATTATTCAATTAATTCACTAAAACCATTCTTGCTTCTGTAGCTTTTCTTACTTTGCCACCATAAGTCAAAGTTCTTCTTTAAAAGTGCTTAAAAAAGATGGTTCTTCAAGGGTTCTTTAGTAACGACAATGAACCATTTGCATGCTTAAATGCTTTTTTTGCACGGAGAAATGGTTCTTCAGATTGATGGAGAATGTGTTGTACATGTTTCTATATAGAACCTTTTTCGGTTCTATATAGCATCAAAAAAGGTTCTGGTCTTCTTACGATGTCAAGTTTGTAGAAAAAGAAGAACATTGTTGGTGCTATATAGAACCCTTTTCAAAAATGTTCTATATAGGACCATGTACAACACATTCTCAATCAAGCTGAAAAACCCTGAAAGCATACAAAGCGTTCTTTTAGTGTTCATGGATCTATATAGGACCATTGTCTTAACTATAGAACCCTTAAAGAACCATTTCACAATGCAAAGAATCATTTGCTCATGTAATGGGTTCTTTTAGTGTTCATGGATCTTTACTTAAGAAACTTTGAAGAACCATCTTTTTAAAGAGTGTACCTTAAAATTAAATGTTCTGAAATAGTTCTTGGATTTCAAATGTACAGTTCTAGGGAAAATCTTGAACTGGTAAAAAACCTTTACATTATATGGAGGTTCTTTAAACAAGTGGTTCTCAAAGCCCCCGCCCACGATGAACAACTGGGATCTAGCAAAACTGTGCACCGGTTTGAGAACAACTGCTTTGAACTTTTTAAAGGAGACTTGCTCTCTCCAGACTTGCTCATGTACAAAGATGGTTCTTTAAAAAAAGAACCTTCCAATGAAAAGATGTCCAAAGTGTTGCCCAGGCCCAACCCTCAAGGACATTTGATTTGGCTCGACATCTATCACAATGAGAGAAAAAGTACATTTTTATATAAATTCTTCTTTTAAAAAATCTGTTGTTGCATTCTGAGGTATTATTATTATTATTAATATAAATAGTGCAAAATAACATGTTTATAACCCGATTAACATGTAAAAAACCACCTACCTTCTTCATTTGCATACTGTTTTGTTTATTTTTTGGCGTGCTTCCAAACACAAACACTGCATTTTGGCACCCCAAGGCAAAAAAAAGAGCCCTTGTTTTGCCACATTTACTTTAAGAATATGCAAACAAAACAACAGAAGCAACACCGCCCCCTATGCTTCCTGTAGCATACTGCAGTCTCTCAGAATGGCCTGTTAGAATAAATGAACATTATATACTCAGCTGCTGGTAAAACGTTGAGCAACAGCTTTGAAACATGGATTTTTCTTCTCAGCAGTCTGAGCTGCCTTTTAATGAGCTTCGTCCACATCATTGCTTAATGTTTTCTAGATGGTTCTTTTTTCGCCCCCGTGGCTGAAAGAACCAATCGGAACCTTAATAGTACAAGTAATTGCCCAGAAAAGTCATAACAGTGGAATCCAGAACAGTGGCAGCAGCGAAAATGCTTCGGCAAACCAAGACAAAGGTGTATCTGTAAATGACTGAGGGCTCTTTGATTGAAAAAAAGCAAAATTGCCAGCAATTAAATTTTAATAAGGGAACACTTTCCTCCCGTCCCCGTATCGTTTAGCGAGGAGAGATGGATTGAGTGGGCTAAAGAGAAGAAGAAAAGGAGGGATGGCAATGATGGATAGAAGCTCTAAATCTGGCTGAATGCGCATCAACAGTTTCTCATTAAAACGTAATCGCTCAATTGATCCTTGGCGAACTCTGCACTACTTAAACAGTTACTGGCACAATAGTGTGACCTCTGAGGACAGAATGTAAGACAAGGACTTCAATCCTTCCAAACATGGAGAAGATACGGCCTCCAGGCCAATATTTATCACACAGCGAGCATGCTGTGTTTATGTATTGGCACTGGAGTTTGCTTCGGTACAGAATTGGTAGAAGCAGCGACGGTAGGTGAACTATGCATTACGCAGCCATGTTAACATAGAGAGCAAAAGCACATTCTCCAATGCAAAATCAATGGAACTGTTACTGCTTGTCAACAAGGACAAATTATTTTTATATATCTGGAACTAACAACTATCTATAAATCAACAATTGTGTTACAGAGCAGAGCCAATTTCTTCTTCTTTTGCCATGTAAATAGTTGCCATGTTGATGACATTGTTTTTAGTCCATCAGAAAATTGATGACAATTGAAGGAAAGCTTCGGTAGTCTTGATTGTTTATTTAAGGTTGACAAAATAGTGGAGGTTATAATTTTTCTTATGGATCTGACCTGAAACTCACTCACATTTAGCAGGCTGAAGGTTCTCCACAAGGGGGTGCTATTCAGTAGCATGAGGGGAGAGGGGCTGTGGTGGTATTGGCCCTCACAGATTGGCCCCCAGAGACTGCCACGTGCTTAACTGACCCCCACAGTTTGGTCCCCTATAGATTGGCCCTTATATTTTGGCCCCCACAGATTTTTTTATCCTGTCTTCATAGGTATGCTGTGTCGCTCTGCATATGTACAACATAGCCAACTTTTAACATTTGAGGAACCATTTTTAACATAAAACAATATTTTTAAGAGGTTTAATTTAGGAATTTGTATAAAAAAGATGCATGTTTACTTTTTACATAATTAACGTTATACTGCATTTAAAGAATATGTATTTCATATACAAAATAGTTTTGTCACAGAGATTTTGGTCACTGGTGTTATCAGGACACTTATATTACATTTTAACAGTATTTCCAGCTCTACTAAAATGCTTCGTTGGGTCAAGACTCATCAGATAGGAAGCATCTCAAGGCATGAGAGGGCCATACTTATTCACTATATTTCATTAATTTATTAAGATTTTGTTTATCAGGCAGCACATAACTTCTATGTGTCGGCAGTGTTATGAGATTTAATGGCTGGGTAATTAAAATTTTGTCAAAATAATGCCAAATATCATTTTTATTACTGATTTTAAATAGTTGCACAAGGTCACCTGACAACCAATGAGTTTACAAAATCCTCAGTATTAACCAGAATGTCACTGGTGTCACAGTCACTGGTGTTACACCACATTTATATAACACCAGTGACTGTAAAATATTTTTGCATATATGATAATAGGAGATGTTAATGGACATATTAAGACTGTTTAGTTTTGGGAATATGGAAGTCTACAAAATAGAAGTCCTATTACTTGCAAGGATAAATTACAGTATTTATAGATCCCCCCTCCCCCAATCTGATTCTGTTTCTCACCTGGGCCACCCTCTAGAATTGATCTCGACATGTGACTGCCATAACGACCACTGTGTTTGACTTGGCTTGGAATTGTGAAGTAGGAGCTCGGAATTGCGTCATTTTTAACATCCACACATTCACGTTACAAAGTGAAGAAGACCTGAAATGGAAGCGAGTATTATTAGCAACACACTAGCCAGCTAACGGTAATGATATGAGTGATAAATTTAATTATCATCATGTATGTACCTCCTCAAAACAGCAAACTTAATGGTCAGTCTTACAGATCTGACCAACGTTCAGAGCAGGAATTCCCAGTTGAGGGGGGGTTGTCTTTGATTTTTCCTAGATGGAGATGGGAAATTCCAAGATATGGGCTTTAGTCAAATGCAGCTTTATAACTCAGTGACTTTTGGTGTTTCATTGGAGTGATGCATAAATGACACATTGTACCTTTGTTTTATTCGAGATGAATGAAAACACCTGGACTTCTACTAGTTGTTCAGTGTCCATTTTTCTTAAAACAGCAACATTCGGTTTATTCCACAGCTACAACATTACGGTGAAATATGGGAAAATGTGACTGTTGATGTAGTGATCTGCTGGGCTTTGTATTATGCTGCAGCTGTCGTCTTTGCCGTCTTCTTTCAACCGTAATAATGTGCAGCTGGGATCAAGGCCAAATGACAGTCATAAGGATAAAAAAGACTAACATGTACATTGATACGATTGATAAAAATGGGATATAGACACAGTTAACAATGCTCCCTGCCCAATGTAATGGCCCCTTAAACTGATATTGCGCATTTCAGTGCAAATGACTTTAGCTTACACTCTTGGCATCTTGGCACACCATCTACACTGCAAATCTTGGACAGCTATAAAGTTATGACTGGTGTGTTGGTAAGTTAATTTATTCATGGGCTCATTTAAACAGCACTTAAATGGTCTCCCAGACTTTGGTCTTGGGGTATTACGCCTGGAGGCCAGTAATGTTTTTCCGGAGAGAAATTTAATCAGCAACCAAACTGCGCCATGGCCATGTAATCATGGCAACAGCACATCCCTGCTGCCTGGTCACTTAACTGCTCATCTGTTCTTTGCGAGTGGCCAAGGGGGTACGGCTCCTCGTTTTTTGGCCTGTCTCCCAGCTAAAGCGAACGTCCTTGCGCCACTCCAGCATAGCAAGTGGAGCGAAGCTTTCTCCCTTCATGCCCACATAGCAGTTTATGTGCAGCAATGCATCCACGTCTTACATCCAGTAGAGTGTAGACTGGAATTGGAATTGCCATAGATTTCTTTTCTCTACATTCCTGCGAGCACAATGGCTCGCTCCAGTGTCGTAGCATCTCAAGATGCTGCTGGCATGGGCCCACGTCTGCCCTTGTCCTGCTCAGCCATTACCATTATTACTTCCTTCCCCAGAAGAATAGGAGCGCAGCGGCGGCGCATAAAGCGAAAATGTCACGAAGGACGAGGCCGTGGGAGAGTTCCTCTCTGGCCCGAGCGTGCCGAGTGTGACGGCCAGTGGTGCAGAGAGCCGTGTGCCCGAGCGTTCATGAATAATACATGACAGGCCAGCCAGGGCTGCCAGGGCTGACGCTGCCCATTTGCCTTTTGCACGCTTGGTCTGAGCCACGGAGGAGGCTACAGCGAGGGGGACATCAACACAGCATGAGGCCAGAGATGGTGCTAGGTACTCTGGGTGCTAATTGGTGGGTTTGATCAATGCTCCCTAAGACCTTTGGGGCTGTGTTAATTGGGACACTCCCTTTGGTTTCCCAATGTTACGGGGTACTGATTTTTTTTTACATTTCTGCATAATTGAATTGTTGAGTCATTTAGAGTGGTTTCATGAATGGCTCTATTCTAGACACACTTACAGACTCTGATTTGTATACGGTGATAAGAACCAGGGATTGTGATGTCTGCATTACAAGCCTGGCCATTTTATTTACTATCTGAAATGACCAGAGAATTGCAATTGTCTTTTGAATTTTTATTTGTAATGTTGATTATGGTATGGCCCTGCCTTTACCTCACAAAGGTGTTAAAAAAGTACATTTTAGGACAAAAGCCTATCTTAGCACTCTCGTAAAATATGTCTCAGGCATCCAGCAATGTATTCCTAACCATTTCATGTAATAACTTGCTGTGAGGAAACTTTTAGATGTGGACGTCTGGTTCCTCTCACCACCACTGTGATTCTAACTTGGTGAGTTTTCTCTAGAACAGAGCATTTCACATCAAACCACTCTGCAAGACTGTATATATCCTAATAATTATGCAGACATTTTAAAATATTGGTGGAAATCAGGACTGTTTTTGCTGTAAACACTATAAGCAGTAATGTAAGGCTCCAAGCCACCAGGGGGCCCTGTGAGTATGCAATCTTTTGCATTTTGTTTGGTGAAAATGGTCAGTGAGTCAGGCAGTGGCTGAAAAGTCCGTGGCTAACTAGCTAGCATCAAGGATAAGAACTGTTAGGCTAACTCATATTAACCCCTTAAAAGGCCAGGGCCTGTCAGAAGGCCCAAAGTATTATTACACACTTCTATAACCTAAGAATAGCTCAATCAGTTTGCACTGAATAATAAGCCTTAGTATCTAATAAGCCTGGATTTTAAGGGGTTAAGTTGCTAGATAGCTAGCAAGTTTATACCCATCTATGATAAAAGTTAGCTACCTAACCATCGCTGTCACAAGATTGTATCAAAAGTGGACAACCTTGTCCGAAGTGGTAACTTTAGAGGAGAAAGGAAAAACGTTCTTAATCTTTAGTGGAAGTTAATGCAGCAATAATTTATTTCCAAGCAATTCTGAACCATTTGTATTCACCCATTCATCATGAAATTCAGATACAATGTAAAGGGCAGCTGGATTATTCAAATTTAGGAAAAAAAAAATGTGTAAAAAAATATTGCTATAAGGTTTTGTTCCAACAGTGGTGATTTGTTAAACTTTCATATTACTTTTCTATGAAATTACATATTAATTTGCATTAAGTAGTTCATTTTTCACTCTTACAAAGTAATACGATTTATTAAACACAAAGTAATGCTATTTAAGTCTGATATTGTTTAAGGCCCCTAAATGTTCCCCTGGTCAACATTAAGGGACTGCAAAAATGTGATTGTACTAATACAGCTGGCTGTGAATGGACAGCTAGAGGGGGAACTAGTAGGCATGATGTATGATTTGTTAAACTGTAGCTTTTATTCATTACTGGCCACATTAGCATTTTTTGGGCAAAGTTCTCTTCTAATTATGTGCATATCATCTTTCAAACTTTTGTCAGCCCCCGACCCCATACAGATCACGCAACCTCCATTGCCTCAAAACAGCTCCAATTGCATCACCCGTCCCTTAGCAAAAACATTTTAATCGTGATTAACATGACAACAATCTGGCAGCGTAGGCAACCAATCACCGAGTATCATCCCTCAGGTTTTATACAATATAAATAACAGTAAATACGACCTGTTTAATGGAATGAGTGTGGCTTTTCAGACTCGGAGAGTGAGGAGGCCAGTGGATCTATGTGCCTAAACCATGTCATATTTTGCCTCAAGCGTTATTTTGGGCAGGCAAGAGCACTAAATCCAGCCTCGACTCCAGTTAGCCATTATCATACAGTGGCCTATGTCAGTAAGAGTGCAGACGATCTTTTTACAGACACATTGGAAAGTAGGTGCATGTGCACTGTCCCATACTGTATATGATTTACTGTCAGCAGACAGTATTTTTCCAAAACAACAGCTTTTTAAGCGAGAACAGAATTAGACATGGCATGTACCGGTGCCTGGCCAATATCAGCAGAAAGTACTGGATGGGATATCTGAGGGGAAAAAAATGAGCGAATCTGTTCCAATCCTGTAACAAATCTATCCTGAAATAGCGCTCGCTCACATTCTGTGATCTGCTGTTAGCTGTGTTGTTCCTCCTGTGGGGTAACAGAACGTCTGAGTAGAGCATTTTTAGCATCATAGCCTACTTTTAGATGCTCATCTTAAAAGAACGGTTTGGCAAAAAATCAAAAGTACATAGTTTTCCTCTTATGACAGATGGAGTCAATCAGCCAAGGCATGTTTGGTGCCTAGGCATCTTGTGCTAGAGCTACAAGGCTAATATGCTAACAAACACCAGAAGTCGAATCTTTTCTATAAATACATGTCCAAAACTTCTCTCAAGCCACTCAAACTGCATCTAGAGCTTCAGGAAGGTTGTTAAGATTTGGCATGTAAGTCATACTGTGAGCTATAAAAATGAACAAAACTTCATTGTGTACACAGTACATTGCCATGTCTGGCAACAGGTGTTGTGCTAAATCATGGACACTATAAGAGAATGATATGACAAAAATGTAAAAATATAATCACATGAATATTTTTCAAGAAATTTTCACAATACACAATATATCACTATATATATATATATATATATATATATATATATATATATATATATATATATATGTATGTATATATATATATATATATCGCTGTTGTCGGTAGAAAACCTCATATCTCCATTTATGACTTTTTCAAGTTTTTGACATAATTTGAAAAATTTCAATGATGAACGGACTAAAAGAAATGACCGAAAATGACTTGAAAAATGTCTGGTTCCATTGACTTACATTAAAAGTAAAGTACGTTTTTTCCTTCTCTTGTAAAGTTACCATTTTGGAGATACAAGGTTTTCTTCCGACAGCAGCGATATATATATATATATATATATATATATATATATATATATATATATATATATATGCTTTTCTGACATCTGGTAAATTGCTATTGACTTTTAAAACCTATGAATATAATGATTTGAACATTTCAATGACGTTACACAGTTATGCTGTTTATATATGCTGTTCAGAAGTGTTTTTAAGTACTGACAATGTCTACAGTATGCTCAGAAGAGTATATTGTGACATATTGTGATGTAATTTATCAAGATAATGATATATATTGTCATAGTGCCCAGTCCTAATGGATGCTACGCATCACAATTTGTTTTGTTTTTTTCTTTATAAATAATTGATAATTTTAGTTTTGAACTGTAAATAAATACTTTAAATAGAAAGAGCAGAAATCGTGAATGGAATCTAGTGTCCATATGTCCATGTGACATACTGGGGTAGCTGGATTCAGCAGATGGAAGCCGAATTTAGCACAACACCCACTGTCTAAAATGCCTGCTGCATTCAGCTACACGGTGAGTTTTTGTTCATTTTTATAGTTCACAGTCGGTCACACTGTGTCCTAAACCACATTGACAACTGTGCAACATTAATGAAGACCTGGATGTGGTTTGAGCGAGCTGAGAAACGTTTTGGGGATGTATTTACAGAAAACATTTGGGTGACTATTGACTTCTAGTGTTAGCAACATTAGCTTTGTACACTAAGCCAAAGAAGCAAAAACATCTTTTTGCTGACTGCATCTGGATTACAAGTAGAAAATTGTGTGAACTTGGACCAGTTTATTAAATTACTACCAAACTTAATGCATTTAGGGTTGATTTTTTATTTCCTGTGAGTTTAAAAAACAGCAAACAGCTTTCATTTTGCTCTCTAACAACCCTTTAAAACTGAAATGGTTTTCAAACAGCAGCAGTGATATCCAGGTAATTATTATTACATATTTAAAAACCTCAATCCATTGCAAAGCCTTTTAATGCGTGCTTAATTGATTTCGTTGCATTAAAGGTCAATCGAATAGCAAACGTAGCATAATAATGACTGCCAACTATGAACTACATCAGCATTGTTAGACTGAACTAACCTCAAGGCCTACTGCGCAAATATTGACAGGCTTTTTCTTGTGACCCCATTTTTCGACAACAGACGGCTCCGTCTAATCTGGCAGCGCCCCATAGGACGTCTAAATAGAGCATCGTTTGAGGTCTACATTAGATCAGGCCTCCACGATGCTCTCGTCTTTGTGTCGAGGAGCGGAATTGTTCGAATCAAGAGCTGAAGTGAACCATACATGGATGAATCACACGCGGGTCCGCAACCATGCCAACAGAGCAGGTGAACATGGCCCACACGCTCCCTATCTCTCTCCGGGCAAGAGCTGCGCGCTGGCAGCAGCACCTGGCACGCTTCCCTTCCTCTCCGCTCCTCCGGGCACAGATATTGATGCATTCTAACGATTTAGAATAATGGGCCAGCATCATACGGTCACAGCTTTCGTGAATCCAATATGGAAAAAGCCCCCAACTCCCTCCTAGAACAGCGCAGGAATAAGATTATCAGGTATTCCTTGGGAAAAAAAAGAAAAAAAACTGGAGTGATATATTAAAAAGTATGAAATGGTTTTTAAGTTTTTCTGCTTGGACTAGCAGCGTGGAATTGGTTAATGATCGCCGAGAAGCGCATCCGTCTGATATCCCTGTGGGAGGTCACGCTAACATTGATCTGTCTTTCTCCCTCCTTCTGTCTTTCTTCTTTTTCTTCCTTTTTTCTTCTCTCGTCTTTTCTGCCGAGACCAAGGCGCGGGGAAATCGATAGGAAATCAAGCAAACAGATAGAGAATAAGTTGTTCGCAAAATGTTACTGAGTGAACTTTTACTTCAAAAGAACTTCTGAAATGAAGAGTAAGGAAGGGTTTTTTTCCCCCCTCCTTCTTCTTCTTTTGCTCTTTTGGGCACCAACTTTGATGCCTCAGCTCCGGGATGGGGATCTCCAGATTGGGGTGAGGAGTCAGAAACGGGATGCTGAGAGATTGCAGCAGGATTAAAGGTCAGAAAAACACTATTGACAGATTGTTACAAATGAGAGGTACTCTGTTATCTCAATCTGCCCAGGGCCGTCTGCGTGGGGTACGGAGCTGGCTCGGAATTATCTTCTGATATGCTGCCATGGCAGGAAGAGCGCAGAATTGGCATGCATGGCACGCAGTGCTGTCCCTCTTAAGGATACAGCATGTCTGGTCAGCGTCTGAAGCCTGAATGGTGTTATTATTTCAAGGCTTAATGATCGGCAGTTACTGGACCTTAAATCCCACTGGAGCTGGCAGGGCTTTTCGGACAATTCACACTAGGAACTTTGGCTGTGAAGGAGGAAAGGTCTAGCAGGGCAGTACAATACAGTGCAAAAGTCAAAGACAAACCTTCACTTATTTCATTTCCAGACAAATTGGCCACTAAGCAAGATCATGGAGGATTGTGAGAAGCAGAAAATGCTAAACCAATGTCTAAGACTGAACTTTGGAGGCGGGGAAAAAATCCCTGAAAAACTGCAAGCGAGAAAAGAATGGAAGCGAGGCGAGGCAGGTTTATTTTTATAGCACCTTTCATACACCGCGGCCATTCAAGTTGACTTACAAATACGAAAATACAAACGTACATTAAAATGTAAAAGATGTAGAAGTAAAAACATTAAAAAGTGATTGTAAACAACAGATTTAAAAGACACATAAAGGTAAAAAGTGGACGCTTGATTGATGATTAGTTTCACAACTTTCCATTAAAATATGATTTTCTACTCTTTTCCTGATTGACTGTTGAAGTGCATAATCACCATTATGGCTGCAGGTTAAATACATGAAGGTTGATCTCTGACTTTTAGACAACACTGTACATGAACCTGAACTTGTGGTCACACTTTATTTCTACAGCATCCCACAAGCAGGAGTTCAACTGGGATTTTGGAGGAGGGGAAGCAATACTTTTTCTGTCGGTGTCAGTTGTTCAGTGTATGTGGTATTATATACAGTTCTAAGCACTGATGTCATGAAAATGTGATAAAGGCCTGTTTCGGTCTAAATGCCAGAATTAAGGCTGTTCATTTACTTGCTGTTCCTTGTTCGTCGGTTTTGGCATCAGAATTATATCAATAGCTCATCAGATGAAGGTCACACTAAAGCCTTTAAACTAGCAAAAGGCATTGTTCCAAACAATGATGCTGCCGATCTGACATCAAGAACCCTTCTTGTCCCTTTAACTGCATGCTTGGATACAGCGCCTCCTTTTTTAAGAGACTGCTGGTAGAAGCAAAACAGTTTATCCACAAAACCTGTGAAATAGTTCAACTCTGTGCCCAACTTCATTCAATGCATTTGGAAACACCAGCCTACTGACTTAACTAGCCAACTGAACTCAACTGGCTAAATTCCATCTCAGTCATGGCAACTGTATACATACTGGTGACATCTATACAACAGAATGCTTTAGAATTTTTTCAGATAAATAATCTGAGCAACTGGCAAGATGAACGGACGGAAGAATTTAATCGAGTGATACAAGGAGGACGTTACATTTCAAGGTGCTGTGGATAAGCGAATGGACTGATGCGAGAATGTGTAACGCAACTGTTTTGTGATTGTCTGGAGGGCCCAAAGTGCACGGTTTGTGGTGAGAAAAGGGCCAAAATAAACAAAACAACATACAAATAGAGTAGAGCTGGACCCGAATATTCGACCATTCGGATATTCATTCGTTGGACAGGTATTCAGTTTTTAATTAATCTAATTTGGGATTCAGATATTTGTTTTTTGGCTAAATGTAGGCTATCAGTAAAGGTGAACTGCAGGTGAAAATACTGAAACATTCAGGGTTCTTGGCAAAAACTTAGATGACTCGAGGATATGGTCCATAACACAACTTTATTTTTAATTTGCTGAGAAGAAACACAGCCTCTCCAGCGCTAAACAGCCCCCTGTTCTACTCTGGAAAACCTACCACCCCACCCGTGTTCAAGCACTGAATCTTTACTGTTAATTACTAACAAAGCTTTAGAGCACAAAAAATGGTATTCAGGACAGCCCTGAAATACAGAATGTTTGTGGGTTTAAACTGAGTTTTTATATTTTTTTGTGTTATTAAAGAACTTTTTTCAAACATTTAGAAAGAAAATAAGAATTTAATAAGTTGTAATTCGTATAAAATACTTGTTTTCTCTCATTTTGTGAGGGGATGGTTTAGTGTACATTTCTAGTAGGCCGAATCAAGCGATCTCATATGCCAACTTTGGGCCGCCCTGGGTTAAAAGGACTTCACATAGGCTTGGAAACAATTTACATTTCCATCACATTACAAAAATGGAGCTAAACTTTGTTGGTAGACCAGATGAACCAAAGTTATGGACTGTAACCTCAAATTGTGTAAATTTCTCCTGAAACTTGAATCTTGAACATTACAGTATTTTCACCTGCACTTCACCTTTATTGATACCCTACATTTGAAAAAAAAAATATCTGAATGGCAAAAATAAAAATTAAATATATATCCAACAAACAAATATCCAAATGGTCTAATTTTCGGGTCCAGCCCTACTTTGTTTGTACGTTTTTTGTCTTTTTGGCCTTTTTCCCACCACAAATATTGCACTTTGGGCCCTCCAGATAATCTTTCTTTATGTTTATCAGTCGTTCATTTTTTTCCACTGTCACATCCTCCTTTTATCATTCTACCAAATTCTTTTATCATTCTATCAAATTCTTTTAGTTTAATGTAGAATTTAGGTGGAGTTTAATTTTAAGTTGAATTTAATAGAAATTTAATGAAATGTCAGCTAAAGACAAAGCAAGCATCACAGTCGCATACAAAAGTTTGTGCGCCCCTGGTCAAATGACACTTTTTGTTGATTTTCTGAGTGAAAATAAGTTAACACACCGTCTACAGAGAGCATGCGTTTCATAAAATGTGCCCTGTGCAAAAATTTTGTTTTTTTTTTTTCCAATATGTAAAAGAAATAGAACCTGTGCACAAGAATTTACAGGAAAATGCCATGTTTAAGTTCCCTGTAGAGCAGTGGTCACTAAACCTGGTCCTGGAGATCTACCTTTCTGTAAAATCTAGATCTGCAATCTGCTACACCTGCTCCAGCCAATTAACTTCTTTAGAAGTCCTTGATTGGCTGGATCATGTGCATTGGCTCTTGTTGAGGGGAGGGGCAGTGTGTTAAATGTAGGTTGGAACTTAACTCTTCAGGACAGTAGATCTCCTGCAAGAGGGTTAGTGACCACTGCTGTAGTGGACGTGTTAACGTATTTTCACTTAGAAAATCAACAGCACATGTAGTCTGACCAAAGTCATTCAAATAAATTTGCATACGACTGTAACAAGACAACTATCATGGACCATCAAAGTGAACTGCTGATGAACTTCTAGCTTATAAAGGCTTAGCCAAGCAAGAGACCTTAGCATTAACTGCCATTAGACTGCCAAGCAAACAAATGAGAGTGAACCACATAAACAAACAAGGGCTGCTCCCTGTATGCTGAGCGGGATGAATGTGTGCACTCAGCCAGAGAAATCCCACACGGCCATGAAAGGCATGGGGAGTCCTGCGATGCACCAACAAAAATAAACGTGTTACGCAATGAACTGATGAAGTGGGAGGAAAAGTGGGGACTCAGATTAGCTGTGTTTGCCTGCAGCTTTGCTGCCTGGACAACCCACCGAGCCTTGCCCTGTCAAATATAAAACAAACCTCATGTGGAAAATCTAGTCTCCATTCCAGGCTTCATGAGTTTTGCAATGACGTCTGGATCCAGCACAGTTCCTCCATGGCATTTAGGAGGGTGAGTCAGATTGGTTGCATTAAAGAAAGCTTCATTTGCTACTCTAAATCCCATGTCACATCTCTATGGTTATTTGAATTGCTGGAGGAAAATGGCTGACATTTGCAAGAAACATTTCCCCCTTCCCCAGAACGGTGCTGCTCAGAGCTCCAAACCTGTTCGAGCAACAAGAGTGGGAAAAAAACCCTGAAAATCGACTGTATTTTTCTAGGAACAAAAATGCTACGGAACACACGGCCATACTTAACTGTTCCAGATCACCAACATTCATTTGAAACCTTTATTAGCAGATAATGATTTTATTGTTACCCTCCATGTAGCCCCACTAGTGTATTATATGTGTCTTACTTCCAAACTGCCAAATCGATTCAAATCAAAATTACATTTTAAGAATAAGATGCAATTTTCAAACTTGGGTTTTGAAAGCTACAGAAAAAAATGGGACTCCTAACAGCTGTGCAAGACCTGGTAGACCACCAAAACTGTCCCCGTCAGATAAACAGCACTTAAAGCTTTTTGTCTTTGGAAGAAAATCAAGCTTCATGCTTGCTTCACATCTGAAAAAACCCATAGTTGTTTCTGTCCACTCTTTCAATGTGAGAAGACAACTCAGCGCTATGGGTCTGAAAGGATGTGTAGCTGCTCAAGAAGCCTCACTGAGAAAAGGAGACAGACACATTAAACAAAGAAGCTAAACAATGGACTGACCGCCCCAGAGTCCACACCTCAACATCACTGAATGTGTTTGATATTACTTGGATCGTGAGAAGAAAAAGATTCAACCACCTTCTAAGACTGAACTTTGGTGGTGTGGAAAAATATCCCTGCAAATTTCTTTGGAAAACTGAAAGCGAGTGTCCTGAAAAGAATGGAAACTGTAATAAAGGCAAAGAGTGGACACACTAAATACTAACATTGTGTCGACCATATTTTATATTAAACCTACATACATCCACTGAAAAAGGAGCATTGTAACCACTTGGTCATTTTGTGCTAACTGGTTTAGAAATGCAGCATTGGAAATATTAAAATATTGGTACTGTTTTATCAGTTCCTGTGTGCTGGTGTTGCTACACATCCAGGTGATACTGTCACCTGGAAATTGAGGCCAGTCTATATCAACCAGTTAACACTTTCAAAACTACTACAATGCACCTTTTTCATGTATACATATCCTTTTGAAAACCTCAG